AGAAATGAGTTTTGCTCTTGGTCATACTATTTCTTTATTCATCTCTTACAGGTCACAACCGTACTTAGATCACCATGGATCCTATCAATTGCTCAGCCGTGGATCTCTCTGATGTTCTGGCCAGCAGGATGAGTCCCAGTAAGATCCTCCTCTCCCTGACTCTCTCTATTCTGGCTGTGGCAACCACCGCCATCAACTCCATGGTCATCACTGCTATTCTGATCACCCGCAAACTCCACCAACCCGCCAACTACCTCATCTGCTCTCTAGCTGTGACAGACCTCCTAGTAGCTGTTCTAGTGATGCCTGTCAGCATTGTGTACATTGCAGAAGAGACGTGGGTTCTCGGTCCGATCGTGTGTCACCTGTGGTTGGGTGTGGATGTTACGTGCTGCACCTGCTCAATTTTACACTTAGCCGCCATTGCGCTTGATCGATACCGCGCCATTACCGATGCTGTGGCCTATTCCCAGAAACGCACGTATAAAAGAGCAATCATAACCATTTTTGCCCTGTGGACACTGTCTGTGCTGGTGTCTCTACCACCTTTAGTGTGGAGGAAATTCCCTGTAGAACACAAAGATAGGGAGAGGGAAGTCATGGACTGCTTGATTGAGCACGACCACGTGGCTTTCACTGTCTACTCCACTTTCGGAGCATTCTATATTCCACTGACCCTCATTTTGATTCTTTACTACAAGATCTACAAGGCTGCGGAGACGCTGCGTAACCGTCGAGGGAGCAGCCGATTAGTCAAACAGACAGTGAGCAACGTCATGCTTCCTGGACTGAGCTCTGATAAAGACATCGCCCTCAGTCCCGACACACTTTGCCCAGTCGAGAAGTCATTTTCCGATCCATCGACAGATGGGGAAAGGGTGCGTATTACTTCTTCATCAGGTGATCTCATCAAGGTCCGCAGGAACACAGGGGCCAGGGAGAGACGGGCGGCTTTGACGTTAGGACTAATCCTGGGAGCCTTTGTGATTTGTTGGTTACCGTTCTTCCTGAAGGAGGTGATTGTGAATATTTGCCCGACCTGCAGCACTTCCGATGTGCTCGCAGATTTCCTCACTTGGCTTGGGTACCTCAATTCCCTCATCAATCCGCTAATATACACCATCTTTAATGAGGACTTTAAGAAAGCATTTAAAAGACTTATTCCCCTCTGCTGCAGCAATATCCTGTGAAACTGACTGGGAGGGAAAGAAAAATATGTGGTTTCAGGTGACAAAACTTTGAATTGAAAGCTGCAAATTACAATGACAATCCTACTGTAAATTAGCGGACTTCTGCAAGAATTACACATCTTTCAGAGACATTTCATCGGTATATTGTTTATATAGTGCCTGTGAATAAATGACGGAATACATGTATAAAAAAAAATAAAAAAAACATTTGCTCCACTTAAAGATTTCAGTATTTTGAAATGGAGGATTTTATATCAAATTAAAAATTGTCTGGTGCACAAATGTTATGTAAATCGACTCCACCAAGGGGTTAAGGATTGGCTGGTTAGCATGGTCCAGCAGCCTCTACTGATATCTATCGGAACTACAACATCTGGATCCCAAAATAATTTTTCTTCATTAACAGCCATTCAAAATGCCACCTTGGAATTATAAGGTTCTCATTCTGAGTGGTTTTGAGATATTGAGCTTCAAAGTTTTTGTTTTTCATATAGAAAAAAATGATGGGGAACAAGTCTCTTTCATACATGAAAATGACAGAGACCCTAAATGTATTCTAAATGTACAATATCAAAATCCTCTCAAATTTGTAAATGGGATGATTTCTGGAACACGGGTCAAATGCAGATAGAACCTTCTAATTCTAAAATAAATAAATAAATAATTTCCCGCTTGGAATTAAAAGGTTCTATCTTGCAAAACATTAATTGAAGCAATCTTTTTCAAGAAATACAAACAGTTTACTTATAATTTGTTTTAAAACATAACATTGGTGTTGCAACAATGTGTCGACATGTATGAAAAGGGTAAATTTAATGCTTTCTATGAGATTTATTTCATATTTTAGGACGAATAAATTTTTTCTTGTTCAAGTTAAGCATAAAAGGCAGTGCACATGCACCATTTCAGTGTCAACAGTCAGAATAAATTTAAATGGAAAAAGTGCCTAGTGTAAGAAGTACATCACACTCGTTTATGCACACACATGACAGTCAAAACGGTGTCATTCATTGATACTGTATGATAATCCATAACAAAAAATTAACAACAATAATGCGCGTACCCTTGTGTTGCCCTTTAACTTCAGACAGAACTACAGCACGTCTTTTGTGAAGCAATTGTAGAACAAAAGGCTACAGAACTTTGCAGTCAAAACTAATCAAGACCATCAGCTTTCTGATGCAGGACAGGATCTAGTCCCATATTCAGTTTCGATTTTGATTTAATGATTTAACTGTGCTCTGATTTCAGAGTTACATTGATATAAACTAAGAGCTTTCGTGTCATCTCCTTCCACAGTAATTCATGTTGTGAGAGTCGAGTCACTATCCCACTCCTTACCGTGTAACTTATATTTATGCCACACTGGCATTGTGATCGCTTAAGTATACAGCTATACATTCAAAATCAGATCCCTTATCACGCTAAAACAAACAAACAAACAAACAAACAAACAAACAAAAAAACGTCACTCAGCTGTCTGCTGATCCCTCGTGATTGGCTAAAAGTGCGGCAGGCGAGGTCAACATCAGCACCAGCCTGTGTGTGTTTAGTAACATGGTGACTGATTGGATGCAGTACAAGCACACTTGGGTTTTGTTTTTTAACCAAATAGCCTATACAGTTTAGATGTTTGAAAACCGCCAAACTGACCCCAAAACCAGCATAATTTTTGTCCACCCGCACAATCAAATTCAAAACCCGCCCAATCTGGCAACACTGGAAACAGCATGTCATTATTGTGTATCAAACAGTGCCACCTTGAGGAATAAAAGTGAGTTGCACTTATTGAGTCAGACATTTAATTATTATTGTGCAGGAAAAATATATAGGCTACTTACTTGTTATATTGCTTATAATGAATAGATTGAGGAATATTAAAGAAGTTTGATGTCTGACTTTAAGAAATGAATGAGGGGGAGAGTAGTCAATGACGTTCTGGGTCGCTATGCATATAAGGGATTATAAACATTGAAAAATGTTTCACTGACTAAATATAATTAAAAAATATATATATTGTTACAATTAAAATATTTCACATTTAATCTTTCCTGCTGTCACGGAGCAGTCCGGCGACACGACAAAGAAAGTTGATCCTGATTGGTCATCTTGTGTGCATTCAAAGTGCTGATTGGTTCACAGAGAGTTCGACTTTGTTGATAGAATAGAACCTTTTTGTTTTCTAAATGAAAGTCCTAAAATGTACTCAGAATGTGAATAATAATAATATGTGAATAACGTTTTGACAAAAATGTCAGATAGAACCTTAAGATTCCAAGGTGATGAAAAGTTGCGGTGTATACTGACTGTGCATAAATAATTTTTTGAAACATATAAATCTTCAATATTTTATTATATATTAAATGTTTTGTCAGTAACCAATTTCTGGAAGTCTCTTAAAGTGTGAATGCCTTTCACAGTGCATTGAAGGGTTTTGGATTGCATCTTCGTGTTTTGGGATCACCTTGCCATGAAGTCATTTTCCTCTGGCTCCAGAGTGATTATGTGCCCATTAAGTGGAGTTAGAAATATCATAATTAAGGCCTGGTTTCACAGATGGGGCTTAGCTTAAGCCAGGACTAGGCCTTAGTTAAATTAAGATATTTAAGCAGCTTTTATAAAAATGCCTTAGAAGAAAACATTACATGTGTGCATCTTGAGACAGAACAACGGAACTGACATTTTTTAAGAAATGTCAGAGCAAGATATTTTCAGTTGAGACAGCTCAAACATGCATTTTAATCTGGGACTAGTCTTAAACCATGTTTGTGAACCCGGGGGTAAGAGTTCTAAGCACATGAATGACAGAACAAAGCCGTATTTACGGATGGGAAACTAGTGATTCTAAATGACACACAAGTTGCAGTGTTGGAAGAGGTGTGATGATTTAAAACATTGTGGAAACTCTGATCTATATTATAGATGTTATATCTATATCATTAAAAGAAAAGTATTTTGCAAGTTCGATTGTACATACTGTATTTCAATGATTTGTATAGTGTAGTTAATAGGTATAATAGAAATAATTTTCACGATTTTGAATTCAGATGTAGCTATTGGAGTTCATTGTTAACAACAGAATTCTTTTTTTGATTACATCTTGAATATGTGACATGTAATAATGAATTCTTGACTCAGAGATATGAGCTTTCCAGGTGTACTTGAAAGCAGCATTAGTCAAATGGCCCAAGTAAAACCTGGGCACGGAACCCATGGGCAAAGATGGCAGTCACAGCCAGTCTCCCAGGGGGGACCTTCAAGGTTAGCTCAAAATGCATAAAACTGCAGGATCCCGAGAGAAAGACAACAGGCAGTTCCATCTGTATGGAAGATGGAAGTCAGTTTGCAGCATGAACAACTTGATTGGAAAAAACGTAATTGTCACATAATTGACTGACTAATAATATTCAACTCCGAATTAATTTTGGAATGAGCTATAATTGGGGTCTGCTTAAAAGAGGACAAAAGGTAGTCATTTATGCCACTACAGTGTCTGTAAACAATGAAGGAAAACACATGATCAAAGTAGAGCCCTCTTGAGTTACACTTCCTCTCCCTTAATACAGAGGTGGAACTCGTAATCTTCCTTTAGATTTAAAAAAAAAAAAAAAAAAAACTTTAAATCACTTTCATCTGGTGGGTCCTGCAGCAGCAGAAAAATAGCCACAGAGATGAATGACAAAGCTAATTTTATGCATTGTCAGGATTTATAGGTCTCTATGGTACACAAGCCAATTTCATTTGTTTGTGGGTAATTCAGAATATATTGGCAGAATACAGTAAGCCCACCCTGGAAAAAAAAATTGAATCAATACTGCCCTCTGTTGGATAAACTTTTATTAGCTCAATTGACCGCAATTCAGCAGCGGGTTGAAATTCCTAGTTCACCAAAAACAAAACAAAAAAACCCCACAAACAAAACAAACAGATATTTAAAAAGAAAAAAAACTTAATCATCCACACATCAGTTCTCAGAGTAGTCAAACACTCACGCAGTCACACATAATCCAAGCGCTCCCTTCTATTCCGAGATGCCGCCATATACAGACCCCCACGGGATGCTCTTCCTTTTGGGCAAGAGCTGCAGAGGAGTCCTCCGCCAACCAGCATGAGAACTGCTGCCCCCCAACAGATATAGATAGCTGCTCCCAACTCCCTCTTCTGAGCATGGGCCACCAGAGGATTGTAGAAGTCCCCAATGACCCGATGGGCAGTCCAACTAGATGGCACCAAGCCCAAGACCCCTGCAGTGACAAAGGCGGCCCCTCCTGCTACAGCAACCCAAGCCTTTGCAAAATCATCTGGCAAGCAGTTAGTACATTTACCACCAACAAAACTGGCCAATATAGCTATTAAACCTACAAGGGAAGCAATAATAAGGATTGCTCGAGAGGCCTGTAGGTCTTGAGGAAGAGCCAGCATGGAGTCGTACACGTTACACTGCATTTGGCCAGTGCTCTGCACCACACAGCTCATCCACAGCCCTTCCCACATAATCTGCGCCGTCACAATGTTGGTCCCAATAAAAGCAGTCACACGCCACAGAGGAAGCGCACATGATATGATGATGCCCAGCCAGCCAAGAACGCCTAGTGTGGTTCCAAGGAGCTGTAAACCAGTAGACATGTCTGCAAAAAACGTGAGACACCAATAAACCAAAAGGAAATAAATTATGCAAGTAATGTTTCCAAAAATGAATTAAACCAGAAAGCAAGTTTTGTAAAAACAGTTTGAGGTACATTCAACAGAAAGCTGATTGGTTTGAAAGGGACTTCTGTGTGAGCTGAACTTCATACATCAGGACGCTATAAGTGATGACAGCTTTACTGCTCTCTACTGCCAAACTATTGGCAATACAACTTGCACTGATTTTATTGTAATTTGAGGATAAGATTGTTAAAATGTTGCAGAAATGATAAATACGTTTACCAAACTGTTAAATTAAAAATCACCTAAAAAAAAAAACTTCTTACCTGAGAACTTCCAAAGCTGTAGATGAGGTTGCAACTGAATGCACCCACACCAGTCTAATCACAATGGTTTCCACAAAGTCCTGAAACAAAAGCAAATAAAAATATGCTTATGTGCAATAACTAAGAATTATTTTAAAAGACTTGTCACTCCAATCACAAAGCAGACACTTTTTGCTCAAGACACAACTGACAGGGTATTCCACCAATCAGATGGTTCCGATGGGCGGTCCTTATCCTCACGGTAATGTTCGTGGTCTCTCTTGTACGCGCTGGTTTAGACAAGCAGTATGGCGGAAGAAGAGAGTGAATTAGAGTTAGACGGGTTTAAGAAAGAACTGGAGACTTTGTTGAAGACTAGTGCAAGCGACGAACGCGGACTCCAGAGCAAGACATACTGTGAACGATTCTGTGAGGTAAGATGACAGGCTGGACGAAAGCGTTTCCAAGCTTTTTATAAGATGTGCTAACCAGTGTTAGCAGCATGTCAGCAGATTCCCCTCCCCCAGTGTATAGCCACCGTGAGCCAAAATCACACTGTATTTTACCTCAGCAACTACTGGTGTCTTCAAAATACCGCAGGGGTAGATCTCAACAGTCCGGAAGTTAATTTTAATCACGATTTGTCAAACACGGGCTGTCACTTTCGTTCAGTTAGCTTCATTAGCCTGGTATGTGGCTAACGGTTAGCATTCCCAAGTTGCACTCCAAAACAAGCAGACTGCGAAAGAGCAGATTATGCACACTTGTTTTATTTGCCAGCGATTTTATGAAACAGAAAACGGACCAACCCAGTTTCATAAATCCGTATGCAGGACTATAGGGTGTTAAATGATAGAATAACTCGATGCTGTTAGTGTTAGCAGTAGTTTATGTCTTATTAACCAGTCTCTGCAAAGGCTGGTTTAAAATCACTGGTTTGTTCCCAACAGTTACTAAGCAGCTTTTAATTTCTAATTAATTTGTTGCCAAGTTAATAATCCATCCTTTCTGTAAAAATAAACTTTTTTTTATGGTGGTTTGCGGAAGTTTGATTGACGTTTACAAATTTGTATCAGTAAGTTCATGTACTGTCATTGAATGCTAGTGACTTCCATGACTGTAAACAAACATCACAAGTCGCTTGACAGTAATGTTTTCTGGCTTTAGGAGCACATGGTGATAGCAATATATTCTGTCAATATTTTCTTATTCTATTGATTCTCTCTTTTTGTTTTATTTTAGTTGGTGGTGGAGCAAACCGGACGATGGCAAGTGCCTCTTCCCCAGCTTCAGGTGCTGCAGAGTGCTCTGTGCTCTTTTGTCCATGGTGTTGCATCATTCCCTCCAGAGTGTGAGCATGTACGCTACACACTGCGAAGTCTGGCCCTGTGAGTATATACTTCTGATTGTGCCATTTACATCTTACTTAAAAGTGCTGTAAAACTTTTAGGAAGTAGAACACACATTTAAGTCACCAGACTGTAGTCGTGTACTCCCCCCTCATGTCATTATAAATCTGTGTGACTTTATTATTATTATTGACATTTGATATTTTGAAGAATGTTGGTTACCAATCAGACAGAGTTTACCAAAAAGGAAAAAAAAAAGAGAAAAGAAGTCACTGAGATATTTGTCGAAATATCTTTTTTTTTGTTCCACAGAAGAAAGTAAGTCACAGGTTTGGAATAGGGATGTGCGCGATGACTAATTTCTTGAACGTTTAAACCGAGGTTTTGTAACCGACCAGTCTTAACAAACCCCCAGATAGTCAAAAAACAGTCTGTAAAAGTGACTTGAAATATCTTTCTTAATGAATCATACAGTCAAATTTCATACTGAATGCTGATGAAAAATAGGTTGCATGCAGTGTGCGTGCCTTGCTTTATAATCAGTGTATATTAAACTTAAGCATTCATTTAATCAATGTCAGCTAATTTAGACATTAATTTATGTTGTTTATTAAAATAAACTTAATCTATGTCATACTGGTCTCGTCCCTCATAACCAGTAGTGTAGCAAACCTATAAGCAAGGTTAATTGTTATATGCCAGTTTGACATGGCCTACACAAAACTGTTTGATTATGTTTTGTGCATTTTGTGCAACCGGGTGTAAAATAAAATAATTACAGAATCACTTTTTTTTTCCATTTGCAGAAGTATCTTCGAACTGCTGTTGTTCTTTGGAAAAGATGAATTCATTGAGCATCCTTTAAAAGGCATTCTTGACTCATTCCAGGTAACCGCATTACCTCAGTCCTATTATTCTTGGGTGAAGCATCATGTTGAATTCTGCTTACTGGACTTTCAGTGCGTATCGTGTTGTGTTACTCATGTTTCCATGTAAATGGTTTGATGTTTTAAAACTTGTTTTTCTGCTCTATTCTAGGACTGCTATGCGAGCCTGGTAAGACACCAGAATGTTTACCTTCTGCAGGTTAGACATATTATTAAAGATGGAGGTCCTTGGGCAAACCCTGTTCTTGAGGCCATTCTCAAGGATTCAGAACTACCACAAGAAGATGGTCAGTCAATCAAGCTTTTGTTTAAAAACCGTGTATTATCAAGTGATCTATACCTTGCATTTCATAAACTGTTAAAGGGGTCATATGACGCGATTTCAAGTTTTCCTTTCTCTTTGGAGTGTTACAAGCTGTTCGGTTCATATTTAAAGACTTTGCCACTGACTATTCAAATGCGAGTTTTGAGCAGTGTAGAGCAGTGCTAGTTGTTTGTCGTTTCTCCGATCACAAATGCAGACATGGTTTTATGTTTACGCGGCGCGATGCAACACGTAAAAAGACAGTATAAGTCATTATAATCCGTGATTATGTCCCCACTGGATGCAACAAATGCCTTGTTTGTAATGGGTTTTATTGGTTTTGTCTCATCGTGCCGGGACATGGCATTACAGTATGGTAAGGGGCGTAACATTTCCGTCACACGCTTGAGGTATTCGGCCAATCACAATGCACTGGAATTACAGTATGGTAAGGGGCGTAACATTTCCGTCACACGCTTGAGGTATTCGGCCAATCACAACGCACTGGATAGCTGGCCAATCGAGAGCGCACCTCGCTTTTCAGAACGATGAGCTTTGTAAAAATCGACGCGTTTCAGAAAGGCGGGGCATAGAGGAGCAACAATAATGTACATTATGTGGAAAATAATGTTTTTTAAACCTTAAACCTCGTGAACACATTTCATTACACCAAATACACAAAATAGTGTTCTTTTTTAGCAACATCATATGACCCCTTTAATGGAGTTGATTATTACATGAGTCGTAATTTATTGTTTTTGTTCACAGTGGACAAATATCTGAGCTCAGAAGTATCCATTTTCTTTGAGCTACGTGTGCGTTATCTGGTGGCATGTGAGAGGCTTCCGGAGGCATTGGCACTGACAAGGAGATGCATCAGGCACTCTGTTGTAGGGAGGCATCTCTATTTCAAGCAAGCCTACCTCATCTGCATTTGGAGAGCTTCTCTTCATGACTGCTTGTACAAGGGGGTGAGTGAGAAATTATTTAATTGATAGTTTCACCACATTTGGTGTGAAATAGCATGCGTCATGGTATGCGTGTTTTGGGTGAACTGTCCCTTTAAAACAATTGTAATTTTGTTATGTTAACATAAAATCTCAATAGAAACCACTAAAAAGAAAGATGTACAAAGATGTAAAACATTAAACTGACATCATCGAGTTTTTAAAAAAAATTACAACAGAAGTACTAGGGGCACATAGGTCAAAAAAGATGAGAGCCATTGAGTTTGGTGTCCATATCAAGTGCATGTTTTTCCATTGAGCTTAAGTAAAATGAATAGTTGTATATTATGTATAATTCAAACTTTTTTTTCATCTTGCTCATTTGCAGTAACTGGACGGTGTAACACCCAATATGCTTTGCAAACAAGTGGTGCAGAAGACTAGAATGCCTTATTTATAATTAGCAAAGCATAGATGTGGTGTAAATAAGAGACTTAATGTGCAGAGCTGGCTTCATTGATTTATAATGGCAACATTCTTGAAAGTCTAGAACTTGCACAGACAGTCAGTGAACTGAGCTGGGCTGAAACGGTTAGGTGTATGATAAATAATTTATTTAAAATGTAGTACATTTTATTTAAAATGTTTAGTTTAAATGTTTAGTCCTTGAATATGGAAAGCAAAAATGTAGTGTCTAGAAATTTAGAGGGATGTGTGACACAAGCAGGATAGAGCCCATCTCTCATATCTTCATGTTCCTCCCAATATTCTAAAGCAATTGATACTGTAAATGGTCAGAAAAGCTAATGATATTTTTCACACAAGCAAGACGTTTAAATTCGATGTTGAGCTCCCGGGGAAAGCGAAACTGAATTACCAGCGGGTGTGAAATACTCTGTAATAGGGAGCCCTGCACATGATATGTGGAAAAAATAGATATTAATAATTTGTTCACACAACTTTTTCATTTATTCCTACAATTTATTAGTTGCCCCAACAACTCAAACATTACAAACAGCTCTTACGATGTATGGGAAAGAATTCTTAATTCAGTGGAACTGCAGTGGGGCGGTTGTCACACAAACTATAGAACTGTACAATATCACATTGTGTTGACTTAAGTTTTAGTGGTCTGTTCATGTGTAGGATGGTAGTGTGTTGTTTGTATATAAACATGGCAGAAGCTTAATGATATTAAAAATGTCAAAATATGGGTGATGATTTTTGTTTTAAAATATTGGAATATAATGAACAATGTCATAGATCACACTATTGTTTTCTTTTCTAAAGATGTCAGACATCGATGGGAAGGATGCTGTAGAGATACTCTGCATGATGGAGAATGAGGAGAAAGATGAGACTGTTTTGATGCTGAGTAAAGGCTTCCTATCTCAGAAGCTCCAGATTGGAGATCTGTACTACCTTTGGTGGGTCTCTCAAGCTCTATGAACATTTACAAGGGGAATTGTGTTCAGTGTATTGACCCTTTTTCTAGCATTCAGTATTTTTACAGTAATTGTATCAACCTGACCAGAAGATAGAATTGAAGGTGCAAAGGATCATAGTCTTATTTCTTGCTGTATTTTTTATTTATTTTTTTATTCCCATTAAGGGATTTGGTCTTCATATGGAGCAGACTCTACCTGCGATTGAACCTCTCTAAGCAGGGCTTCC